GCCGAGCGGGCTCGGCTCGTCTAGCCCATGAGCCCGCTCGGCTCGTGCTCGGGCTCTTTTTTTACGAGCCCGAGCGGCTCGTGGGCGTGAACAGTACGAGTCGAGCGGGCGAGCCGACGAGCCGCTCGGCTCATTTGCCACCACTAAGGTTATCCAGGCTTTTTTTTTTTTTTTTGGCAATGAAAACAAATTCTATAGAAAATTGTAAAAAAAAAAAAATATCCCTTTAATGGACAATTTTCATAGAAAACAAAGTCAAACGAATACTAAAATATCCAAAATTTCAACATTTTTCAGGTGAAAAATTATATCAATCAAACACAATTAATTATAATTCCCAATAAAACAAATTTTAGGCAATTCAATTCCTTGTAATTCATTTTCTTTCCACCTAAATTTCACATTTGCAATCAAACGGACCCTTAGTGTTTGAGCTTCTGATTCATGAAATGGCCTCATCTGCCCATTCATCGGCCATAATCCTTGTCAAAGCTAAATATCTCAACCAAATAGGCCCAACAGTACCAAGAATCAAAGGGCTCACATTAAACTTGGGGAAAAAAAATCATATTTAAGGTGTATTCTTTACCTCAATTCAAAAATAGGGTAAATAGATTAAAAATTCAAAAATCAGGTATGGATTAAATAAAGATAATAAAGTCACATTTTGTGATTAATGGTCATATATTCATAATTTTAAGTTACAGATTTATTTACTGGTCACATATCGTCAAATTTTTTGATCCCAAATTATTTCGAGGTCACATATCAAACAATTTGTATGTCACACATTATTTCGAGGTCACAAATTTTTAAATTAATTGGTCACATATTATTTTGAAGTCACAGATTATTAAATTTTTAGGTCACATTTAAGTAATTGGTCACAGATTGACAAACATTTGGTCACATACTACTGCCGCTTGGTCACAGGTCACAGATCGACCAAATGCTTGGTCACAGATCGTAGCCACCACACTCACAGCCACAGAACACTTGCAACAGCAGATCCGCCACCACCATCAATAGATCCGCCACCAACGACCGCAAACATAAACAGCCAACCACCAATCCACCACCCCACAAATCCGCCAACAGTCAAACTGCCACACCCAATACTTCGTCTCAAAACACCAACCAACAACAAATTAGATTCAATTGAATCAGCAATCGAATCACCAAATCGGCCACCAATCCGCCGCCCAATACTCCAATCGAATCAGCACTCCACCGCAAACCACCACCCACAGCAGCATCGCGACGCTGCTGTGAGGTCGCAGCATCGCTGCTGCGATTCGCAGCAGCTCACTTCTGCGAAGCGCAGCAGCACTGTTGCGATTCGCAGCAAAGAGGGGATGGGGAGGGGGAGAGGGAGGGAGAGGTGGAGGTGGAGGTGGAGGTGGAGCCGTGAAGGGGGAGGGGAGGGGAGGGGAGGCCACTGGCGAGAGAGAGAGAGAGAGAGGGGAAGGGGAAGGAGTGAAAAATTAGGGTTAAGAATTTTTATATCACCCGATTTTTGAATAATAAAACTTGATCCCTGAATTTTGAATTTCAATCTTTAAACACCAGAATTATTATAATTTCCCTTAAACTTGTCAACTAAATCCTGGCATTGCAATTGGATCATAATCTAAAAGATTGAAACCCCTTCCTGTATCTCAGTATAACAATCATCATAACTCAAATTCTTTTGACTCGATCCAAAATCACTCGGCCCAGTAGGTCCAATCACCGTCATAATCATCAATATTCTCCTCCAGGATTTCATAATGGTGCAAATGCTGAGACCGAGTGAGTCATACATGAGATATGGGTTCCGCTGCAATTGGACGAATACGTCGGCGAGAGGCAGAGTAGTTTAGTTTTTGGATTCAATATATAGCATTTAATAGTTTTCTTCGTTGTCTTTGTATTAGAGGTATGGTTTATGTCCTCTCCTTATTTACTTGCACGTCTTCTTATATGAAAAGACAGAAACTATGTTACCCTATGGAAAGTTCACCTTATTTACTACTCTAGAAACCTAAATTCAGAACAGAGGATCTACTGACCAATGCATGAATAGTTCTTCTCCGGCCAAGTATTTTCCTTCTTAATTGAAATAAAGAAATTAACATGGTAAAATAGCAACTGGCTCACAGAATAGCTTACAAATTTGAGTAGGCATAACAGAGATGAAATTAATGTGATATCTTAACCTAACAGTCAAATCAGGAATGAAGTTAAACCGTGAAGCAAAAAAGCTTGATAAGTTTATATAGTGATTCTCAATGTATGTAGCTCAAGTAACATGTATGCCCTTCTCTCATTCACAACTTGTGACTATAAATACTAAGCATGTACTAACGATTAATGCACCATCTTGCTGGGATGGTCAATTCACATACTCAACTTGGTCAGTTCCATCTTTTTTTCTAGATGTTGATAGCCTTTATAAGGATCAGTTCACCCCCTTTCCCGTGTTCAGGGTCAATTCCACTATTGATAGAGATTTGGATTCAGAAAGGATACCTCCAGAGAAGAATCTGAATAGAGGATTAGAAGCAGATCCAGCACCGACAGAAGAAGCGGTCTCTCACTTCATCTCAAGTACTGATAACACAAATAAGATTCATTCAATTGCATAAAGAAGAATGACACATCAAATTACGTGTTCTCAACATAGTTTTGCATAATCTGTTTTCTGGCATGCACAGAATCTGGTGCACATATTGAGGCAACTATGAAACTGGATAGAGGACATACTAAAGAATATGAAGTATTTGGACTAATGTAAACCTGAGTAACTAGACCAACATATGACCCGTTTTCGAACCTGTTTGTGTGTCTCAATACAGAAATCAAGCAAGTCATTCATGTCACATACCAAACATCAAAAGTTATGTTGAGAGAAATTCCACTTAGTAATAGTGAAATTGAAAGATAGGGTACAGTTTCGCCATCATACTTCAGCAGCAATATCAAAAGATTTTTTTTTTCCCCCAATCAATCAAAAGTTTGCAAGATTCCTAGTTAATCTTAAAATACCAAAACGACTAAGCTAATAATAATACAAGTTCTCAAGTAAGAGGAAAGGTATACCCAACTTGGATACAAAATTGCACACACCAATTCAGCACAACAGAATGAGTCAACTAGCAGTGCTCGATGGAACATGAACAATGCCATGAAAAGCTCTATTTTTGCTGACAAACAGTACCAAGAATTATTACTTTTAACTAGTATCCGATCAAAGGAACAAGTAAGCTGAGATACCAATTGAAGTGTAAATATATAGGAAAGAGGAATACATTTAGAGAAGGTTAGCTGGTGATCAACAATCAATTCGTAAGAAAATAGCAATATGTACATAAAAAAGAGCCCAAGAATGAAAATGGCTTCCAAAGAAATAAATAAATAATATTTACGTATTCGACTGTGAAAGTGGCATAGATTCATCTCCAGTATTTTTCACAACCTCATCGCAGCAATAGTCACAAAAGTCATTAGAATTTTGTTTCAGATGCATGGAATGATCAATTCGCTTTTCCAGCCATTTCAGTCTCCTCTCAAAACTCAAGACTCCATTATGCATCGTCCTAATATCAACCTGAGCAACCTTTGCACATGACCGAAGCAAGATATAATAATCTGCGTGTACAGCATATATGTAGGCACCTCCTTTCTTTTTCCTGACATAGTGCACATAGTCCTTATTCTTGATATTAACTCTTGGTGGAATATAACAAAATCTATTCTCTTCCATATCAGACTTCAAATGTCTTATTGCTCTATCTTTATAGGACTCCATTGAAGGTCGAACTCTGTGTGCTGGATCTTGATCACTGTAAGAAAATTTATCCTGAACCATGCTATATAGCAAGTCATTATGTAGATTATGTGGTGTACTACCCTTTTGAGACGACTCACACAATATAGGATCGTCCCAAACTCTTTTCATATCATCATCTCTATTGACGTTGAAATTCCTTGATCTCTTGTTGCGCAAGCCACTGACTTTTATGTTGTCCAAAGTTTCAGCATCCTAATAACATCAATTTTTTAAACTGTTCATGTATAATATCATCTTTAAGCATGAACGAGAATGCAAATGGTTCAGTTATCAATTAAATAATAGTGAAGCGCTTAAAATTGATTTCAACTAAGGGTTCATTTATGCATACATATATCCTGAAAAAGATTGAATGTCTGAAATTTGAAATATTTAAAAAATATGTAGATCAAAAAGAAGAAAATATTATAATTATGTTTCCAATATTCACAAAAAGTAATAATTTGAGTTCTAAAACCACTTCCATAGCATTAGATGAAACTAGACCTATGCTCAAAGTAACATCCTGAATCAAAGAGGGAGGGGAGATGAAGTGGTGTTGGAGGATTAAATAATTTGGATACCTTCGAATTGTGATAGAAGTCCCATAACTCCTCTATCAATTTCTCTTCTTCATGATCCTCAAACGATGGTTGTGATCCGGAAAAAACCACATCCTTACAATACTGAAGATATGAAGGCAAGTCTCGGGAATACTCTGTAAAAGTAGGCAAATAAGTTAGCATAACTATCTGCCAAGTCCATATTAAAGAAACTAAAGACAAAAATACTTTATCTAAATGATTATTCATAATCATTACCGTATACATCACCCAGCTCATTGTATTTTGCTTCAAGAATCTTTAAAAGCTCTACAACACCCAATGTAGCATCCTGAACATCTGGTTTAACGTCATCAGGCACTAAACCATTTAATAACAAGTCCTTAGTATCATCAGTTAAATTACTAGAGCACTGATGTTTGTTATCTCCATTTCTTCTGCACCGAGATAATGAAAACATGGAACTAGACAAACTTGATTCCCATATTCCATAACCGTTAATATCGAAAAGAATTCTTATTGCTACAATGAGTATCGACATCACACAAACTCGCGTGGGTAACCTGAACTCGTTAGCTGACAAATACAATTCGGGAGGCATAGACCATTCAAAAGTGTGGCATGCCACGGAAAGTATTTTGCTGGTAGGAAGAGATAATTGCCTGACATAACGAGAACCTATAGCATAAAAGTTCACCGGAGGCAATTCCAATTGAATTTTGTGGGCAATATCAGCTGCCATTGATTCCAATTTCTGTGGTGAAACAAAATGGATGGGTCTGAACATACGACTGACACTGATAGGACAAGCCTTGGAGTGAGATCCAAGCTGTTTCTTAATTTCAACATAAGTGGCCAAATATGGAAGCTTTCCTTCAATAGCCCACTTTAAAATATCTGTGGGCAAAATTGCCTCTCTGGCCACATGACAAACTAGGAAAGAGATGGCTAAAGAATAAGATAATGGGATTGTACTGCTCAGTGATCTATACCATATCATTACTGCACGCTGGCCCACTAGATTAACCGGTTCTGCACCAGGCTTAGAACTAAGCTCAAATTCGTCGCCTTCCCCTGGAATGCAAAAGTGAATGAGGCCAAAAGATGAGCACCAGAAAGAAGAATTGTATAACTTAATTTTTAAATTTTCATTTCGAATGTTGAATAATATGTTAACTAGAACTGTCAATATGGACATATTTATTTAAGGATTATCCATAAGGACAGGCTCGTTGTTTCTATCCATAACAAACTAATATATAAGCATTGTGGAAAATATTTCTAACCAGAGATTAACCATAGTGAACAATTGAAGCACTAACATAAAATTATATTTACAAGGATTGAAGCTGGTGCACAATTTCATCACTATTGGATTTTGGTGAATGCCATATAAACGAAAAAAACAATATCTCTCGACCAGAGTTTATCTTCGAGGCAAAATGAGATGCATTTTGAAACTTGAACAGTTAGATATTCCTTATGTTCGCATTCAAATTTCATTTAGATTTCTTAATTAAATCCTTAGTTAGCTCTAGCTTTCTTTTTAATGGAGGTAGCATCTTCACAAGGATCTCTATTCTCCTCCTCTTGTACTTCGAGAGGCTTTATGTCCCTCTCACAGGTACTTTGGTTGATAAAATGGGTTGAGGGTCGTGCCAAACTCACCACATGAGAAGTGAACTCTATTGAAAAAAGTGGGAAACCATACCTTGTGTTTGAGCTTCTGATTCATGAATAGCCTCATCTGCCCATTCATCAGCCATAATCCTTGTGGAAGCTAAATATCTCAACCAAATAGGGCCAACAATCCCAACAATCAAAGGGCTCACATTAAACTTCTCAACTAAAGCTTGGCATTGCAATTGGATGATAATCTGAAACCCCTTCATGTATCTCATCCTAATCTCAGTATAATAATCATCATAACTCAAATTCTTTTGACTCGATCCAAAATCACTCGGCCCAGTAGGTCCAATCCCATCACCATCATAATCATCAATATTCTCCTCCGGGATTTCATAATGTTCCAAATGCTGAGACTGAATGAGTCTTACCTGAGATATGGGTTCCCCTGCAGTTGGACGGATACGCCGGTGAATGGCAGAGTAGTTTTCAAAGAGATCCTCCTCGTCAACACCCGTGGCAACGACATCATCAGCTTGGGACCCGCAGTGCACACAGTAAAAGTAGCCATCATCACTGTTGTTGAAACCAATAGCGCCACATACATGGCATATCCTCTCCAACCTTCCTGGCATTATATCTACAGACATTAATTTCTAATTAGGATGTGCCATTTTTCAATCTTAACCAATAAGCCCTAAAAATTATGAGCCTATACGCAGGAATATCAAAAGGTAGATTTACTAAACAATTTTTTTTCCCTTTTTAGACATGTAAGAAAAGGGATGAAGAATAGATTTTTACCTTGATACAAGCATGAAACAGTCAGACCAGAGAAGGTTCGCAGACCGGTGGTGGAGAAGATCTATGTTGACTCAGAAGTTGTGTCGGTGACCCGATTGGAGGTTTCAGACGTCCTCAGATGCGGTGGTCGATGAGGAACTCTATATTGGAACCGTATAAATCTGGTGTTGAAGCCGGACTTTGTGTTATGTGAATGAGCTACCAGACGTTGGATTTGGCGGCGTTTGCGGTTTAAAGGCTTTGGGTGGCTGTGCGGTGGCGTTACACCAGCGGTCAGCTAGTTATGTTTTTCAATTAAAAAATCTTATTTAATATTATTAAAATGATTAATTATATTACCACCACAAAATCTAAATCACAATAAATTTACAATTATACCCCTAGTTCATTTTTCCCGTTGCCTCAATCCCCTAAATTTTAGTGCAGGCTTTCCAGTCATTAATTTTCTCATCCATTGCATAAAATCAAGGTTATGAATATGAACGAATGCAGAAGCTTCATAACTTGCACGGCACGAATAGAAAGGAAGTTTGAATTGATTACCTCGTCGAAAAATAACAAATAAATAGTAAAAGTCAAATACTAGTTCATATAAAAATTGTATTAAGGACAAAATTATCTAATAATCATGAACATCAAAATTATGTTTGACATCAGAAGTTTCTCTCTGTGATAACAACACGAAGACATAATTACTTGTGGATGAATCATGGCAGATGGAGGTTGCCTATAGAAGATATGTTGGCATACTAGGGGTGACCGTAGGTGCCATGATAATTGGTTGTATTTGGATAAAATGATTTATTAGAGCAACTTACACATATAATTATCGACATTGTATACCATAAACTGAGAAGTATAAAGATCAACATAGAGTGTGTTTGGTAGGGATTTTTAGGAGAAAAATTGATTTTTGAATAGTGATATGATGGGAAATGTGTGGTTGAAAAAGAAGAAAAAAGTATTGATGTGATGGAAAATATTATTTTATTGAAGAATGTGTGGTTGAAAATGAGAATTGATTTACTGTAGAAAAGGAGAAGTTTTACCAAACAGGCTAATAAGTGAGAACATACAGATCAACATAATGATTATGGTGTCTAGTTAATCTTAAAAAGTAGATTTAAAAGTGTGGTTAATTAAGTAATTTCACTTAGAGACATTTAAGTAAACACTAAACTTGTGGTGTAATAAATAACTTTTCTGGTGGTAATATAATTACCCTATTAAAAAAATCATTTTTTTTCAAAAACTTTTCTAATTTATCCTCATTACCGGTAGTAAATTATTATTGAAAATAGTAAAAAAAATAAGGATATATTAGTAAACGAACAAAACAAAACATTCTTAATAAAAAAACAAAAATATATAATTGGGATAAAAAAAAAAAAAGAAAAGTAAGTATATAAATGAGACGGAGTGAGTATTTTTTTAATTGTTAAAATTATGCCATGTGCAGATATTTTGTGGGAATTAAAATCATATTTTTAATAAATTTTAATAAAAGGTGATTAATATATGGTTCAAAAATTGTGGATACCATAAAATATGTGGTTAAAATTAATTATTTACAAATTTTAATCAATACCAAATAGGATCTACGTAAGATATTTACCGTTATCTGTGTATAACTTTATGGAAAATATAACTTTATGGAAAATACTTCTTGTACATAACTATTTACATTATGTTTTATATAGTGATAATGTGTTAAAATATAAGTTGTGAAGTTATTTGATTGATAAAATTTTGATTCAATTATATCTCGCTACATAAGTTATTTTGTATACAATAAACCTATTTGTACAAAGTTGAGTTACAAAGTGTGTTAGCAAAATTCAGACCGTTGATTTCAAATGATTTAAAAATCTATTTTTAAAATAATTGATGTAAATGTTATTTTGTCAACCAACTTTTTACATGTAACATAACTCATTTGTATAGGTAACACAGTAACTTTATTGTCGAGGGAAAATTAAAGAGAACATTGAAAATTTTGGGCTGCAAGGTGTCAAACGATGGTCCCATCTCCCACAAACACACCAAAATCTCCAACAGCGAAAATATGAACGTGGCACATAAACTATTATGGAGAAAATCCAATGGCCCTAATTTTTGGGTTCTGGGCCACCACTATGTATTGAGATCTGCCGTCCAAAATTTGATATCCATTCAATAAATAATTGACACATTATTTTAAATTAGCATATTCAACTTTTCTCTCACTATCACTTGTATTTAAAATTAAGCGTACTTTAATGTAGAATGATGTATCAATGAATAGACAACAAATTTTGAACAGTAAATCTCAACTCCGCTATCACGTTGTACATCCATACATTTCTTAAAACGTAATGCTATTCGTAATCGACGACTACAATAGTCGTCTTATCATTTTGTAGGCAATTATATTTTAAATTGGTTACATGATAAGGTCTAGGTGCTTATTTGAGAGGTCAATTTGTATAAAGAAACTTGCAGGGTTATTAGGATTCCAGACAATTTATATTTATTAATCTTTTGTTTCAAAATTAGCATTTGAGTTTATTAAACAAAGATGTTTTATTGCTTTACCCCATACTAAAATTGACATTTATTACAATAATATCATTTTATATTACTAACGAATTGCATAATTTATAGTGCATTCTACTAAATTCAAGAAAAATATTGAGACAACACATATACTCGTCATGAACCTTGCCATATAGTAAATTACACCAACCAATCAAACATATAGAGAGAATCCGAATAGAAAATACTTCTTTTTAAATATATTCTAGAATTCTAAATGAGATTCAACCAAAAACTAAAAACAGAAGATTGATGTATTCTTATCCCAAAATCGGGACAGACGACGAATACTATTTTGAAACTGCGGACCTAGCTTTCTACCAGCCCCCATTTGGCCCTCGGATCCAACTACATGACGATTTTGATAATAAACTGTTCCAACAGCAAAAGACGTGATCTAACTTCTCAAGGATCCACATCTCGGTTTTCAAACTGCTCAAGAATGGTATTACAACTGTTCATGGTGCGCGCATCAAGGAGACCATGATTCCACAGTTTGATCATGTGTAATCTCCAACACCTACGAAGAACATGAGAACACAATTAAATAGGACCTCTTCTCGACAAATAATAACACAGAAGTCTCTTAGCCCCGGCATAGATTTTTTTTTGTTTTTGTTTGAAATAGCGGATATATAGAGATTATTCAAACAAGAAGTTCAACAGAAAAATAAATAAACTGATGGAGACCATAAGATCTTTTCTTTCATTCTCTAAAGCTTCTAATGAATAGAAAGAGAAAGATAACAGTAGTGCCAAAACTGAGCATACACAAATAAATACAGAGTAAAATTCTTCTTTTTATTTTTACCAATACTCAAAACTCATTTTGAATTATATTGTGCGAAAACTAGGTGTGGCATGGGATAGCAGCACAATTCTAGTACAGTAAGGATAAAGATATATGTACAAGGCCATCATATGTACAGGGCCTGTACATCAAGCACGATCCAATGCAAGATAAAGACGTTACCATAGTAAAGCTGGTGCCCTAACAAGATCCCGTCCATGCAAGTTAGAAAACGCCTCGCATGCCCATGGAATATGACCATCTGCTATCACTCTGCCATTAAGACAGAAATAGTATTTAAACAACAGAAGAAAGCTGTAGACCTTGCTACTAGTCAAGTATGCAATAGTGATAGAAATACAGGTGTCATTATCTTGCTAATTCTCACAGAGACTGGTTTAAAGAACTCGTTGTTCTAACACAACCCTCAAAAAATAGAGTCAATACTCATCCTTCACACCAAGGAGACAGTAACAATGTTTAGCAACTAGACAATCAATGCCTTGCCAGACGCATCATACATCCCAATGCAAGATGCAAGAATAGTGACCATTTCTTTCTTGACCAATTGTCATCTGGGCTAAATATTAAGGTACTGTCTAAAATTATCAAACAGAAAGCTACGGAGGTCATATTTTATACTCAAAACAGGTTTTTGTCTGGACTAGAACCATAGGAGTACTACTAAACAAAATGAAAAGAAGGAAAACAATCAAAAGTGGTAACCTTTGCTTTCTAACAAATGAATTCCAGAGATGCATCAATTTCTTTTCGTCTTCTGAAACATCAACAAAGTCATCGAGCATCTGCAAGTAATGGTGTATTGATTGTGAACATAACAAAATCATCAAGCAAAACAAAGAGCCTAACCAAAAATAATAATAAATTGAAATCAAGGAAGACTGGACTACTTTAGTGCCGTGGCATTGCTCTATCAATGACCACTAGAATAGCACCTACTTGTCTAGCCAGAGGAGAACAACGTTATAAAAACCAACACGGAACCCATGTCCCCATATTGTCTAAAATATGTTTTCCATGTTTAGTTGTGATACCACCATAGCCTACAAGCTCGTACAGCTCATAGAACATGGAAAATCAAGGACATGATGTAAGCAATCTGAACTTGGCAATCAAAGACCCTTATTTCGTATTTTAGATGTCTGAAGTAAAGATTGCAACTGAAAAAGATTCGAGGTCATGTGGCATGCGAATGAGATCTCTCGAGCCACTATAAAACACTCATGGACCATTCTGCTACTTATAAATCAGTTTCAAACAAGATAATTAACTTTCATTATTTCCAGAAGTTTTCAATGTTCGGTTATTTTCTGCATTAAATACTGGTAATTGTTACCTTATACTAAATGGTTTTATTCCTTACCACCTAAGCATCTAATCAAAACAATCATAATTGTGGCAAACTGAAAAAAGTTCATCAAGTATATTGATCTATTTGAAGATCAATTGCATTGGACTTTTAGGAAAAGTAGGATTCTTTGCCAAGAACTCTAATCCTTCAAACTAGGTTACAATTTTCAACTACCAAGTTAGCAACTTAGATTGCTTGCTTCAGATCACAAGTTCCTCATCACTCTGTTTCCTTGGACAGCAGAACCCTCGGGTAAATCAATGTACAAATGATACATGAACATGCTTGGAAGCAAGCTATACGCATTAGGATAATGAATATGATACACAAGCATACCCTTTGATCTTCCAAATCAGCAACATCATCATCAACTTCATCTTCACTGTCACGATCTGATAGGACTTGCTCCATGGCCATAGGCTTAATGTAATTAAAAATTTCCAGTCAGATAACTATGTGCATCTTCACAAATGGTTTCAAATGTAACAGCATTAATGATGTACATAAAAAAAATTATTTTGGCACTACACAATTACATAGTAAAATGCCAAGCCCAAATCTCAATTAACATATTATTAACACAAGCACGAAATGTTGCAATAAAAACTCACCAAATACAGCGTTTTCCAACTTCCAATATGTTGGTGCATGTATACATGTATGTAGTGTATGTAGGAAAGTATGCATACTAGACTCATTAGTCATGTGTGTATGGACAGACGTTAAGGAGAGCAGGACCAGAAAGAAGAGGTATTTCTAAAATATCCTTCAGAAAATTGGGCCCCATGTATACTATATAGTGACACAAGGCATTAGATACCCCCAAACTCTAGCAATGAAGAGTACGGAGAATGGACGACTGCAAGTAATAGCATTATAAGAATTACTTGAACTGTTCATTCGCCCAATTGTAATTCAAGTGTCAAGGAACATAAGCAAATTATAAAGAGGAACACAAAGAATTATAAAAAGGTAAAGTAGATATCGTATAAATAGATTTGAAAATTCTAAAGCACAGTCACAAGAAACCCATAATCTGAACATAGTTCAACGTAAGCAAACATAGCAATGGGTACAGCCTTAAACATTAGGATTTATTTCATTATCTTTTATATGATCAATGTGTTCCTGCAAGTATCACATTTGTCTCATATCATTTGACATGCTTTCCATTTTTAATGTCTCGTCAAAAGTGTCACCGCCAAAAAAGGAAACACTTTAAGATTGGAGTCCCAAATTGCTCATTTCAAGTTAGCAACAAAAAGGTGAAAGAAAAACTATTCCACATTTAAAATTCTTTCTAAAGATGTAGCTGAAAGTGGAAGATGAATTTGAATTTTGAAAATGAGATGGGGAGATGTCGGCCATAAAGGTGACATTTCTTAAACTTCTCTGTCAAAAAGGCGATGACAAATAATTCGACATGGAGGTTTTAGTGGAATCCACTAGCAAGTAAACTCGATGAGTGGTACTTGTAGTATTTGGTATTTAGTTCGGATGTAACTACCCAACACCAGCATGGAGGTTAGTCCTAGATGGTAATCTCCAAATGTTAAATAATACTAAATGGTAAACCACAGAATGGGGATCAAGCTTTTCTGAGTCCAACAACTTTATCTTTGTCCATAGCTATATAGTGTTGAATTACTAGAAGTCTAAAAAGAAACTTTTTCTGAGTTTTGAGTTCTGAGTCTGATTATTTCACTTCATTGAAAAATCAATTGAAACTGCGAGGGAATGAATACATTCAGGCATGGAGATTAAAAGAGTGCCATGTACCAAAAAAAAGGGAACAAATTCTTACCTGAGCTCTGTGAGAGTGAAAGAACTGCCGCTTCTGCAATAGTGCACGGCTGGGGAAAAAGTAAAATTCCACATCAAAAATTGACTCATATCAAAAGCCTTACGCTCTACAGATCACATGATTCACATTATCAGATTATATAAAGGTTGATATAAGGATGCCTGAAATCTGAAATTCATTATCTTCCCTCTATTTGGTTTGAACTCGAAGTTGTTTGCTACAAGCATGACACATTTTGAACCTCCTCACCAGATCCTTTTAAAGGTTTTTAAGTATAATTAAAATGATCTTCAACTTCAACTTAACAATATCAACTCTAAACATAAAAAAATGTAACAGCAACCTCTCAAAAAATATACATAGGTGATAACTATTCAACTGAGCATTGAAGTGTATACCAAAATCTGGCTCACAAGTAAAACCCTTTTACTTGAGCAAATAAAACTATAATTTAAATCTGCATACACCTCAGATTTAAATTCACGTGTTTAGATTTACAAAATCAAGAAATTAAGAGATCAGAGTTGTTTTAAGGAAAAAAGAAGCTCATCCAATAATGTTATAAAAATAATTACGACTTTTGCATAAATATTTTAATTAATACTTTAGCTAGAAAACTTACTTTCTGGGGTCAGAGCGTTCAACTGATAACTTCCTCGTCTTGGCAAACTGTAGTATAGCAGGAGGTGTGAGGCTGCTTCCAGGTAATGATGATTGGAGACCTTCAGGCTCTGTATAAGACTGAGCTATCAAAGTTGATACTTTGAGAGTGGATGCATCATGTTCCAAGCTCTCTGTAATACCAATTTAGAAAAAGATGTAACTTTCCCATGAAATACAAATTTTACTACTATACATTTCCAATATGCTTAGGTTAATTGTCCTTGGACAACTCTTGGCAAAAAAGGCGGGCATGAAAGAATTTTCTCGTGTCTAATAATTTGACTTCATTTTTCAAGCTAAAATAGAGGGGAAGAATCCATTTCTCAGCAGAGAAAAGAAAGAGTAACCACTACATACTTTCCATCACAAAAAGTAGTGATATAAAAATATGACTGTCATGTCTCGTAATTTTTGTATTGGTACTCAACGATCTTCCAAATGCTATTGTAAATAGCATTGAACTGGATGGAAAATCAGTTGGGATTAGGAAGTTTTCTGTTTACAGAGTAGGATATTTCTGAAAATGAAATAAGTAGCTCCAATATGCATAAGCCTATCAATACAAAAAGTGTATCCATAATTCAACTCCACAGCAAGTTCTCAAAGGTGACAGGAACATCATGATTGATAAATAACTCAGTGTGAAAGGAAAATAAGACAAAAATAACATTCAACAAATCAAGAAAGAAAGGATGGGAAGGAGATCAGAAAGATTCCAATGATAAGTATTGTCTATAAAGGAATTATACCATCAGGTTTGTCTCGAAGCTGATTGATTGATCCCGGCAATTCTGAATCCAAGACTAAGGGATGCACATGCTTCGAACTTTGAACTAGGCACTTCAATTTAGTACGTCTTAGTGGCTTAGAACTGTATCACACCCAAATCATTTCATTACATTTGACACTAACAAGTGTAAAGATCCTATACTTCTAAAACTAAACTAGAGAATAATGTCGTACCAAAAGAAAAATATCTGTTGCTGAGGATCAACACCAGCTGCAACTATCTGCACATATCATATTGGCGGCAAAGGAAGTTCAGTTACATATATAAGTGCATTCAAGTTATGCCATTTGACAACATTTATATAAATTCATTAGATCTGGATCTTCCAAGTCCCACTACATAACAATCAAAATGCTCCAGATTCTAAATGTCATCAATGTCACCATGTAAATTGGGCCAGGGAAATAACTAGCACCCACAACCGTAACCAAGAACTCTCAGGCTTCAGATGTTTTTACCAGTGTAGTTTAGCTGGTATGTTATCTACATCTCTACAAACTTCTTCCCCAAATAAACAAGTCATTAACGAGCATAACAAATCACACTCTCCAGAAGCTTTTCAAGAAAAAAACTGTTCTAACCTCAGGTCTCCATATGTCAGTTCTCACAGAAACATTTACAGCTTGAAATTCTTCAGTTACCTATACAATGAATGGGGTGTTAAGGTTTCCATCAAATGACAGAATATAAAATCTTGTGAAAATTGCTGAAGGTAACTAACCCAAAATTCAAAGTTGAAGAGGTCATGAGAGGAGGATAAATGACATCTTAGACCCTGTTAAAGTTAAATAGCAGTAAGCTCATTGTTAGATTATCAACGCCAAAAGAAAGAATTAAATACATCAAAATTGCAGCATACCTTAAAGCTTGCACATTTCACCAAACAAAAAGGACATGTAAAGTCCTCTGTCACTGCAAGTAAAAAGTATATATCAAGCTTTTATTACAATCCATATGGGCAGAAACATGGGCAAAGGTCACAAAATTTACAAGTATGAAGAAAAAGTATCAGAAGAAACAGGGTTCCAGGTATCAATGTTTCCAAAAAGGCAGACTCAGAGCAACATCTGAAGATTAAGACTATATACAACCTATGAGACAAAACAATAAATATTTTATAAAATGGCATTGAAAAGAACACGGGGAAACAGAGAGAAAAAGGAGAAATAATATTATAGGATTATTAACTCACCCAAGTGATGAACTTGAAAAGTTATAGTGCCAATTACCACACAATAAAGACAGAGGAAAAAGTTGTCATCGAAACAGGAACATAATGGCTCAAAAGAACTGTCACAATATGGTCCTAGCCAAATGGTATTTACTAAAAGCCCAAGAGATAAAACAGCAGCCATTGGGGACATGTGCAATGTAGGTGCAGTGGCTACACATTTTCCAAATCTTTTTTGCCACATTAATAATCTGCGATTAGGATAAGCAATTGCTTCAAACGATTTTAAAAGTGATATTCAAGATCAGATAGTTAATAAATTTGGAAGATCTAGAACAGTTTATTCATCCGTGAGCAAAATTCCAGTGTTTATTTAACCAGGGCAGTATTGACAACAAAATGAGATTCAATATTTTGCCTCATCATTGACCAAGGGGCAGTACAAGCATTGACACACAAACCAACAGAAGTGCATATACAAATTCTAGTCTAAACAACTGCCGCACAATTTAAACGTATGTATTATAATTTATATCAATTTGAACATACAGTATACAACAATTACTAATTGAGGTTATATCTATAAAATTCTTCTTATTTCAACTATGAAAGTGTATATCTGTGTATACATGCATTGTAACCTCCGCCTCCATATCCCTCATCCCCTACCTCTTTCCACAAGGACACAATAGTCAACCACCATTGCCATTGCCATTGCCACTGCCACTGCCACTGCAACAAACTCACCCTTACCAAAACTCTTTTTTAACGAATACTACAGTAATGATTGCAGTGGTGTAGGAAGGCCTCATGGATTCATTGTGGGTGCAGAGAGAATCCCATAATAGAGAAAGAGTCAGTGGCTTGAACCTTTTTTTTTTTTCTAAATTATAAGCCTGGAAAGATGTTACGGGATATAACTCTACCCTCAACGTTAATGAACAAAACTAGGGCAGAATATTAATTCACCAATGAAGCAGGCAAGTTAACATACACGTGTATGTGTGGCAACTACAACAATATGTTAACATACCCATGTATGTGAGACATAAACGTTGCTCAATTTGGTGCAGAAGAAGTTTATTAATCTAATGTCACTATTTTAACATCCATGCAAAAATGTCTGTTCCAGATTATCTACTTGCTAGACCAAGAACAAGAAAAAGAACCCATCATTCGAGAACTAAATACCTAACTATCCTAGTCGGGTGGACAGAACATGTCTTGCCAAAGACCTCCATCAAATTCATCGCAATTGAATAATACAGGATTTAGTGTATCTAAGGAAAAATGATTATTCTGTAGTACCATGGCAGCAGCAGCAGCAGTAAAAGATTGAAAAGCCAGATGAAGCAAGGAAAAGAAGAATTAAAAAATCAACGGACTATTATTCATTAAAATACTTTCCTTCAGATAAACTGTTGACTTTAAAGTGGAACTGTTAAATTCGAAGGGTTAACAGTGGCATTTTAGTCCAATATATTAAGAAGTTCTGTTACTTCCTTTTTAGAGCACACTGGATTGGGTTCAGATAGAACAAACTAGAAAATAACAGCATTGCATCTGAAGATCGAAAAGCCAGCAGAAAGTAAAAGATGCAATGCATTTATCATAAAAATCGGAGTTCATATTACCTTCAGTCTTCTGCAACTTATTGTTATAGTATCTGTAGTTGAAAACAACATTTCCCGTCCTCAACCTATACATACAACCAATTAGTGAATTCCTCAAAATAATGCAGAAAGTTAAAAACTTCAGTACAAATACCATAAGCAATGAGGTGAGAATGCATAGTTCCTCAATAATTTATTGAAGGAAAGAAAAGAAAAGAAAAGGATTTAGGGCTTGTTTGAGCCCCATTTTTTTTGTATAAAATGCATTTTGGAATGATAGATTGATGGAGAATATATAGTTAAAAAATAAGGAAAATTTTTGGATTTGCGTGTAATATTATTTTATTGAAGAATGTTTGGTTGAAAAAAAAAAGAAAAAAGTGTATTTTGAAAAAAAAAATGGGGATCAAACACGGGCTTTAATAAGAAGAATGCTACTACATATCCAAATCAAAGACATTTTTCCTTTTGGATGTCCAAGATTATGCCACTTCTTTCGTCAGTTTTTCATTTCCCAGATTACTATTGGCAAAGTAACATCATGACTATCAAACGGAAAGACGGTCCCATTAGGAGTATTTTCTACATATTACTTAGTTAATGTCTACCCACATAAACTACATGGCATGCATAAAGGTACTAAAACACACAGACTCTCACATACAATTCGTGCCAAGCTAAACTAGAACATCTGAAAAGCAACTGGTCACTGCATAAATTTCTTAATAATCACTATAAGATGAATTTTCATTGATGAAGAAAGATACTAAAGGAAAGTCCATAGAATCTTCTTCTCTCTTTTTCTACACTTGTGAACCCTAATCTCCATGGGGCAAGTTACCATCTATAATCACAACAGTGGCACGTGATTAACAAACATTAATGCCATTTTTGGTTCACTGTCACTGCTCTAGGTAGTACTAGCACAAAATTGTATCCGATCAACTTAATCTGGTATTTGGCAAAAAAAATGCACCATTTCAGAGTCCAATACAACATGCAAAGTCCACAATCTTATCCAACATTCGGTAATAAGGTAAACTCGTCTGAATGGTGATGTTAGTTATATGCTAATGAGGGTCTTCTTTTAGAAATGAATTCAACCACAGTGATCTCTCGATCAAACAAATTGTAAAAATATATTGAACGAAGATTAGAATCCACTACATGCACACAATTTTCATACTTCACAGTTATGCTATCTGCAAATCAAATACAAGTTGAGACTATTTTCAGGATTATGGGCCTTAACTGAAGTTTATCCAATGCAAACCAAAAACCAGATATAGTTGATGACCACAAAAATTCAGCCATGGAGTTGCGTGGAGATCACTCATTCCCACATTCCTCATCCAACCCAACTCCTTCAATGATCCAAATGTCCGAGTCAGCCATGAAAGAGTGATGTGGAGATAACTCATCCTCATGTGACTCATCCAACCCTTTACCCAACCCCTTCCATGATACAAATATCCCCAAGTTGAAGGTCACATACCCAATTTTAATGCAAGATACTACAGTGCAATCAAAGAGGTAATCAGAGAATAAAAAATCAGAAAAAGAAATGAACAAGAGGTGAAAAATAATTTGCTGTAAGTTGGCCCTTTGATCAGGAATCAGATAATCGTGTTGGGGAATCACATTGAAACAAGCGTAACAGTTTTTGCTTTAAAACACTAAAGATAGTAGTGATGATATTACATAACAGAGGCATTCAGTCCTTGATAAAACTGGTTAAACAATTAATTATTAAATGGTGCTGGTAGCAACAACGGTTAGTTATGATGGAGTAGGTTACAGGCGAGTTTTTTCTCTCTGAGTCCCAAAATCCAAAAACACCCCACCACCACTTACCCAGCCACCCATTACCCAGCAACCCTCCCTTCCGGTCGACCGGCGAGAAGACAGAAGAACAACATCCTAGTGACCTCACACCACATATTTTCCAAAACCCTACTGAACAACGACATGAAATGGGCTCTCGGACCAAAACCCAGATCGATCCCTCTCCGGCCATCAAACTGCCAGACGCGCCTGACCGGCGGCCTGTGCAGGCATTTCCGATGCCGGAGGGCGCCTCTCCGGCGCCGGACCTCCCGGCGCGTGTGGCCCACGGGCCGGCGCCGGAAAAGCAGGAGCTCCGGCAGAACTTCCCCGGCATCATCAGCAGGCATATTTTGTCGTCGGATATGCCGTTTCGCTATAATCAAAGGCACAAACAAGTGGATGCATATGGTATGGTGTTTAATCAACGCTTTAGAGTTGAGATGAAGGAGTTTGAGGTGTCTGTTGACGAATCAGGTACTGTTCGGATCATAGAGAGGGACTCCAGGATGTCAACCACTATTTATATGGGGAAGTATGGTGCACTATGGATGGTAAATATGGTGGATAAGTTGAGAGCGGCGAGTAAGTCGGAGGAGTTTGTATCCAAGTTTACCGAGTCACCAAGGGCTTTTTTGGCACAACGTTGTGCGAATAGCCGCGGTAGGTATTTGACAATTGCACAGTATGGAGAGAGGCGTCGGATGGGAGTTGTGATGGTTCCGGAAGGTGTGGATGGAGAGGGATGGGCAACGTTGACTCGGGTGTTTAGGGCTGCTGTCGATTCTTTTGTTGTGAGAGATAAGGCTAGACGTCGAGCGATTGATGAAAGACATAGACAAGGGATGACTTATGCCGAAGTGACGGCAAACTTACAGACATCGCGTAAAATTGATCAACGGGGGCTAGTGCGTAATGACAAGATGTATCAAGCGAGGGAATATGACGATCATCTTTCGATGCCTAAGTCTACAGGGAGACATGCAGAAGGTTCACATGGTGGCACATTGAATAGTGTTGAAATAGGGGCTCGAGTCCAGGCATTGAAAGACGAGTTGGATGACTTAATCAGGCTAATGGGATGTGGGTCTGAGGGGAGTCCCAGGGTACTCTACTGTCATAAGTGTGGGGTTGGTGTGGATGAACCCCTAGCTAATGACACTCAAATAGCGAGCCTGGTTCCTAAGGAGGTATCACTGAATGTAGCTCATATTAAAGACAAGCAAGGGGTAACTAAGACTAGTTGCACGTCTCAGGCACTGTCTGAAGCAGTTTATTCTGGAAAAGACGATGGGATCGAGGTGGTGAAGTTGGATACAGATGAGGAAGCTTCGGGAACCGCAACAAATCGAAATGTGACAGTCTTGAAAGAACATGAAGAGGTACGGGCGACAGTTATGGTTGAGAACACATATCACAGAAGGCACGTTAAGGCCCTAAAAGAAGTAGAAGTAGGGACTGAGAATGCTTTGGTGTTGTGGGTTGATGGCGGCCAGGAGGAGGGGATCGAAGACGAGGATGTCCATGTGGAGGAGACAGAGGGATTTTCGTATGAACCTTTGGAGTGTTGTCATGTAGAGGAAACAACGAAGGTGCATGCGATTGAAGCAGGACCCCAACCTTCAAATTGGGTCCTTCAAAAAATGCAGGAGTTCAGTAAGTTGGTTGGAGTGTCCTGCAATGGATATGAAAGTAAACTCATACAATTATTTGAGGAGTTGGAGGCTAGTAGGGGGCAGGGGATGTGTACATCAAGCGGGAAAGCTAGAAGGAAGGGCATCCGCGAGCTTAAGCGGCTCGAATGGTCAGTAAATTACGGTGCTAAGGGTGGTGAGGCTAGGAAAGTATTGGTGGGAAGGGATGACGGAGCGTTCAAATGACTCCAAAACTTATTAGTTGGAATGTGAGGGGGCTTAATGAGGCTGGGAAAAGGTTAGGTATTCGAAATTTGTTAAGGGGATGGAGGGCTGAACTAGTATGTTTGCAAGAAACTAAGTTGGAGTTTGTCTCGAGGGCTGTGGTTAGTAGCTTATGGGGAGGACAACATGTAGGATATCAGTTTTTGGGGTCATCGGGGGCATCAGGAGGCATGCTTATCATGTGGGACACTAGAGTTTATGATATGGAGGATGTTAGCGTTGGGTCATATTCGCTTTCGCTCTCGTTTAGGAATATTGGGGATGGATTCCAGTGGATGTTTATAGGAGTTTATGGTCCTAATTCAAATGAGAGTAGAGGGGGCTTGTGGGATGAGTTGACTGGTATGATGGCTTGGTGGAATCTCCCAACGTGCATTGGGGGTGATTTCAACGTGGTTCGATTTCCTACTGAAAGGTCGAGTGGTGGGAGACTAACTGGGGCTATGAAGGATTTTTCAGATTTTATTAGGGAGAATATGTTGGTGGATATGCCTATGTGTGGGGGAGACTTTACTTGGTCATCTAATCGGGACCAACCTGTGCTATCTCGTATAGACCGGTTCCTGGTTAGCGGAGAGTGGGAGGCTAAGTACTCAGATGTTACTCAGAAGAGATTGGGGAGGGTGTACTCTGATCACTTTCCTATTTTGTTAACTGGGAATACTGGGGGTAGTGGTTTGAGGCCTTTCAGGTTTGAGAAGATGTGGTTAAAAGTAGAAGGTTTTGGGGAGCGAGTACGGAATTGGTGGGCTTCCTATGATTTTCGGGGGTCCCCCAGTTATGTGTTGGATCATAAGTTGAGGGCGTTAAAAAGGGATTTAAAGAGGTGGAATGAGGAGGTGGTGGGCAACGTGGACTTTCGTAAAGTTCAGTGCCTTTCAGACATAGAAGAGTTGGATAAGCTAGAGGAGAGGCGAGGGTTGGATGGGGAGGAGAAGGAGAGACGTCGAGTATTAAGGGCAGAGTTAGTAAGTTTGGTGGAAATGGAGGAGATTGCTTGGCGCCAGAAATCTAGGGTCACGTGGTTGAAAGAGGGAGACAAATGCACTAAGTTTTTCCATAGGGTTGCCAATTCTAACAAGCGGAATAATTCTGTCACAGTGTTGGAGGTAGATGGGGTTACTTATGAGAATCCACAGGATATTGGGACCCATATGGTGAACTTTTATCAGAACCTATATCGGGAGCAATTTGAGTGGAGGCCGGAGTTGGAGGGATTGGAGTTTTCTACTATTACGGAGGAGGATGCCGGTTGGTTGGAGAGACCATTTGGTGAGGATGAAATTAAGGAGGTCGTGTTTAGTATGAATGATGATAAGGCTCCAGGACCAGACGGGTTCTCGTTCTCATTTTATAAGGCGTGTTGGGAGGTGGTGCAACAGGATATTGTTGATGTTTTCACTTACTTCTTTGAGCGTGGCAGGTTTCTGAGGAGCTCCAATGCAACATTTATTGTGCTGATCCCTAAGAAACCGGGAGCAACTGATATTAAGGATTTTCGCCCTATTAGTCTGGTCAGTGGGGTGTACAAGATTATTGCAAAAGTTTTGGCAAATAGACTCAAGGCGGTGCTAGGGAAAGTGGTGTCTAAGTTTCAGAATGCTTTCGTGAAAGGTCGTCAGATTTTGGATTCTGTACTTATAGCGAATGAATGCATCGACTCAAGACTGTGCCTAGGGGTCCCAGGGATGCTATGCAAGCTCGATATTCAGAAGGCTTATGATCACGTGAACTGGGGGTTCCTTCTGTATATGCTTAGGAGATGTGGATTTGGGGATAAGTGGTGTAAATGGATTCAGTTCTGTATCTCTACTGTATCATTTTCAGTTTTAGTCAATGGTACCCCCGAGGGTTACTTTCGGAGTAGCAGAGGGCTAAGGCAAGGGGATCCATTGTCTCCATTACTGTTTGTGATTGTAATGGAAGCCTTCAGTAAGATGCTCGAGAAAGCAAGGCGGGAGAATTTGCTTACGGGATTTACAGTTGGTCAGATTGAGGTGTCCCACTTGTTATTTGCGGACGACACGCTGATTTTTTGTGACGCAGTTGAGGAGCAAGTCAGGAATTTACGTAGGTTGCTCTTATGTTTTGAAGCGGTGTCGGGATTGAAGGTTAATCTGGGGAAATCCGAGGTTATTCCAGTAGGGGAGGTCACTAATGTGGAGGAACTGGCTATTATATTGGGTTGTAAGGTTGCGCAGCTACCTATGTCGTATCTTGGACTCCCTTTAGGGGCGCGATTTAAAAATATTAACATTTGGAATGCTATTGTGGAGAAAGTGGAAAGGAGGTTAGCGGGGTGGAAACGTATGTATCTCTCGAAGGGTGGTCGTCTTACTCTCATTAAATCTACTCTATCAAATATCCCTACTTATTTTATGTCACTGTTTCCCATTCCTGCTGCAGTGGCTAACAGATTAGAGAGGATTCAAAGGGAATTTCTTTGGGCAGGGTTGGGAGAGGAGAGGAAACTGCATTTGGTTAAATGGGGAGTTGTCTGCTCTCCGATAAGGATGGGGGGTCTCGGGTTGAGGAGGCTTACTTTGTTTAATAAGGCACTATTAGGCAAATGGCTGTAGCGGTTTGGTGTGGAGAGGGAGAGTTTCTGGAGAGAAATCATTGGGGCGAAGTATGGCGTGATGGAGGGGGGATGGTGTTCGGGTGAGGGTCGCGGGTCTCACGGGGTGAGTCTATGGAGGTATATTCGACGAGGATGGAATGACTTTCGTAATAGCTTGACTTTTGTAGTAGGGAATGGTAATAACATCAGATTTTGGGATGATTGTTGGTGTAGAGATATACCGCTAAAGTTGGGGTTCCCTTCCTTGCATCGCATTACTATGAGGCCTTATGCTATGGTGAATGACGTTTTAGCCATCCACAATGGGAGTCACAGTTGGAATATCACTTTTCAGAGGGGTCTGCAGGATTGGGAATTGGATGACTATGCATTGTTTCTAACAGATTTGTATGAGGTGCAAATTCGGGTAGGAGAGGATGGTAGTAGCCGATGGAGGCTAGCACGGAATGGTATTTTTTCAGTTCACTCTTATTTTAGTTCTCCCTTGGGACCTGTGGAGAATTCATTCCCCTGGATGATGGTGTGGCATTGCAAAATGCCCCCACGGGTGGCATTTTTACTGTGGACGGTTGTGAGGGAACAAACATTAACGATGGATAATCTCCGAAAAAGAGGCTTTTATGTTACCGAGTGGTGCTATATGTGTGGGAGTGATGGGGAGACGCATGATCACTTGTTCATTCACTGTGACGGTATCCGTTGGTTGTGGAACAACATTCTGGCTTCTCAACATATAGATTGGGTGTTGCCAAGACGTATAGAGGACGTGTTACGAGCATGGAGGAGGAAATTTCGTGATAAGAATGGCAAGCTAGTATGGAATCTAATCCCGAGATGCATTGTTTAGTGCGTGTGGAGGGAAAGGAACAACCAATGCTTTGAAGACCAAACACGGAATACAGAGCAATTTAGAGAATTATTTTATCTGACTTTGTATACTTGGTTTAATGCAGCGACTAGCAATCCTATAGAGGGGCTGCCTAATTTTATATTTTTTCTTTCTTGTTTAAACTGATTATACACTTCCTTTGTATTCTCCTTAGATTAATAAAATTTTTCCTAATTATCTATCAAAAAAAGATAAAACTGGCTAAAGGTAATTGGATTGATTGAAAATTAATTATCCCGTGAAAATGGAGAAACTCATTCTCAGTACAAGAAGCAAGAAGAGGCAGATTTCATTTTGTGGAGAAAACTGATTGTATCAAACTTAGTACTGAAATAACTTGGAACATAAGATGGATAATTCCATCTGCACAAATTTCCCAACAAAAGGAGAGTATGATCGTTGAGACTACTCTACGCATGAAAAGGAGACAGTCAATTAAAAGAAAAGCAAGCATAAAAAGGTGAAGCTATAGAATTAACCTAATGATCTGAGGCAATGAAGAGGTAGAAATGTCACTATATGAAAATGAATCATAAGAAGATCTCTCTTTAGCCCCAACTTCTTCAGCTGCAATGCTCACTTGAAGTCGCTGCAACTTAGCCTTTAGTAAAATAAGATGGAGAAAAGATAACAATCAGTAAATAGAAAATTTAATGCAGAGTAACCTTCAAAATTATTATTTAAAAGAAAAAATCCCAGGAAAGCAAGCAAAATAAAAGAGGAAAACTACCGGGCCTTCGGCGACATGAGGAATCTGAAATGAAAGGCATTTGTCTTCTCCCAAAAAGCTTGTCTGCAAATAGAAGCCAATAATATAAGAAAACTGGAAAAGAAAACAAAACAGACCAAATTTGTCACAATCTAAAAGTTCTGTTCATCATATAGCCAACATTGCAGATGACTTCACCATCCATGGTGAAATTACTTAAAACTACATTAAAAAGAAAAGGCAATTAACAGTATTAAAACCTGAGTGTGCAGAAGCAAAAACTGAAATTTAATTTCAATGGCTTCTACATACAAATTCATTGGGTATTAACATGATCTACACATTGCACAAGTACAGAATATTGTAAATTTTTAGCAGTGGGGTGGGGGGTATGGGGTATCAGGGAGGAAATGCAATAAGGTTTATGTGGTATTTCCATCATGAATTGATTTCTCTATGCATGACAGACAATAATCCACCTGTAATTACAGTTTTTTAATTGTAATTGAGTACTATTATGCAAGATTCCACTAATATGAACAACATGAAGAAAACAATAGAAAATGAAAATGCTCCAATAAAAACTAGCAAAAACGGTGAGGCTTATAAACAAAACAGAAAGAGTTTATTAGTACAATTGTTCAACCATCTTCCATGTGTACTCAGCCACCAAAACTGAAGACCAGAATATGGACGCAGTGGCATGCAGTTAAGAAAAGTTTTTCAGTTGGTGTACCGTCATGAAGTAGGAGTGCAAGTCAACTGTTGACAGCATCTCAGCTCTCTCCCCCGCACTCAAGTCGGGAGACTTCTCCCATGATAAGTGAAGTAGCTCCATCGGTATCTTGCCCAGGAAGCAGTGCCCTCCGACATTGTCTATTACCATGAAGGGGTCAAATTAGAGGGGTATCTATGTTTCCACATAAAGAATGACAAAAAGTCCAAAAATTCCAGAAAAGTGGGATCTAGGGAAGAAAAGATACATCAAGAAGGAGCCATAGTTCATTGTAAACCTTGAGAGGAAACACAGAACAGATGCAGAAGAATAAGCTCATACATATTCCACAGCTTATAATGATGTGAACCCACAAACTCTTCTAATAGAACCATATTTCATTCAAGTAGGTGAAAAGCTTGTATGCAATGAAAAACAACAGTATTGAAGAGACACCTACTTGTACGTTGATTTTCAGCCAAAAGAAGCATCCAAGTTATATAAAAGTTTGGATGGAATCAATACTCCAACCGCCAAGTCATTATAATCACAAACAAAACAGTGAACTAAAGTATAAATGTAAACCAGACGGATACCTAGTAGTAGAAGAAAAAATAGAGAGACGCTTTCAAACGCCTACACACTTCAAATACAGATGTGGAGAGGTGAAGCATTTTCCTTGTGCATACATGTACCAATGGTTTGAAAAACTATTTAGGGGTTACGCCTCGAATCCCGCTTCATGTGAGGCTATCATAAAATGCCTTGAAACCCGCATTATAATGTCATTTTACATTGCATTTTCGAACGTTTAATTATTCACCCTAGTATTTTGATTTATTTCTTTATAAACAAATTTTTTTTACTTGTTCTTTCGTTTTCTATTTTCTACCTACAGAAGGAAAATGGGAAGGATAATAAACCATTGAAATTGGAGGATGATGACAAGAATCAAAAGAAACTTAATGATTCCCTTATAGATCATAATGGTAGCAATGATATATAAGAAATTTTGAGTTGTCTCCGTTTTTAGTAACAGATTATTCATCTGGGAATGCTACCTCAGCATTTCACAAAGCAAGTAACTGGGAAGGTCAATTTCTAAGCAGAAAAGGCATACATGAAGCCTAGCTTCTCTTGCAAATTAGCTGAAGTACACAATATGTAAAGAAAATTCACAAGAGAAAAGACGTTTACCAATTGATGCATAACTTACCTGGCAATGATGACATGTCCATCTGGTCCTTGAAAAATTCGGCTGCGAAGAAGACAGGAAGCATGAAAAATTATGATGTCGGTAAGCCTAGAGGCTTGTACAAATTAATAAGAAAATACAAAGGGCATACAGCAGCTGACAAACAAGATGGAAAGAGAGCCAGGCTTGACTTCTGCTGATAGCTTATTAATCTCAGGGAGAATAAATGTTCCTTGATCTTGATTTGCCCCTTGAGCTCCAGTGGAGGTCTTTAATATACACGCTCGATTAAAACGATAAACTTCAGAGAGCTGAATCAAAACAGAGTCAGAGGCCCAAACATAAAAGCCAGTTGAAAGGAAAAAAAGGAAGCTTGCATTGAGATAAAGTGAGCTCATATACAACCTCAGCAACTGCTGGGCAATAAACTGGCCTTGCTAACAATATACACAGGGGAAAAAGGCTTTGAACTTGAAATCCATCATTTACAGCTGTGGGTAGAGAAATTGTAACTTTTATCCTACGAATAAAGAAGAAAAGGAAGATTAACTCAGTTGTGTTCCATGATAGTACATAACACATCTCCAGGCAAAATATGCATTTGTAAGTCTGAACAAACATCAAAACACTGCAAGGCAGCGTTACATGGAAAAGTTGAATATAAATAAAAATTAATCGCTGAAGGAAATAAATGAGAAAGAGTGGGTTTGAGAGAGGCAGCTATTGGACAGACCACTAGTATCCAGTGTAGCTAATGATGTACATGAATTTTTTTTTATTCTACAGATTTTTTCAAGTATCTGTGCATTTTTATGTTTTTGTACTACTTTCACACTAAATATTACCACTTTTAGAAAATTTGCCACATTATGACATCGAATAATATACAAATACTCGAGAATTTAACAGGCTCTGAGATATTGTATACCATCCAGTCACAAACAAACCTTTATACTCAAATTTTTTAACAGCGTTCTCAAGCCTTTTACCTGAGAACTTCTCTATGCACTTTTGCATAAATAGAAAATAAAGGAAGAGTAAACATCCTCAAGATATCAAACTTGATGGACATGCACATAAACGGATGCTGTCACATTAAAAAAAAGGACAAGAGTTGCGGAACACCATATAATTTTTTCCTGCTTTCTGAAAACGTGTAAATCAATTCATGAAGAATGTTCCAGTACAGTCATCAAAACTAAATTTTTTTGAAAGAACAGAAAAAGGTTCACCACCCCTCTTATGAGATTGAAAGTCACATTAAAAGGTGCACTGCTGCATATTTTAGAATTCATTACATCATATATCCAGCAAATCCTGACAATCTAACATTTCAGAAGCAAAAATAAAAATAAAAAATAGTGACACCGTAACTACTAATGTTTACCTCTTTTTGTGCTTTGCTTGTATTTTGTACCGCAAAGATCTTTGTAGAAAGGATGGCTACAGAAAAAACTGCCTTCAGTTAGACAAGCTACATATAAAGTAAACAGAACAAAAAAACTATAACTGGAAAGATGGTGACAAACTTAAAATGGTATTCTTACAATGATGATAAATCTATAGTATTATGTATCTGTTATCATTGTTATTTAGAACACGAAGATCACGTATAATAGAGCAATAAAAACAAATACTCTGAATTATATTGGCATGATTAACAATAATAACACTGAACTATATTGGCATGATTAACAACAATAACACTGAAAATAGAGTCATAACCCGCACTCCTGAGCACATATGTGGACAACAGGCAGGTACTGATAATGGTTTAGAAACAGAAAAATGATTTACCCTGCAACAAACATGAATAAGAAAAGCGGAAGAACAGAAGTAGATAGTGAAGAACATTACATTTCTAACTGCACGGCGCTGAAGAATATTGTATAGCTCAACTGGTTTGCAATATATTGACAGGCTCTCCTCAGCTGCAATTTGCTCTTCCAGAGACAAATGCGCACAGGTGTCCTCACGGCACATGTGATCTGCAGTTCTGGAGTAACTGCAATTGCAAACACTATTCATGTTCCATGAATAGATTATATTGATGATTTCTCTCCATCTCAATCATATATCAATCAAGATTGAGGATAGCTAATTCATGAGTATAAACCAGTGAATGTCTACAATTTGGTAAATTACTGAGCAAAATCATAATGAGCTCTTGATTCAGTATTTGAGGAATGTGAATTAGATTTAGGAGGCTGCAAACACATTTTCTTCAGTAAAGCACATATAATTCTTTATTTTACGACAGGCCTTTGATTTGTTATTAGCAGCATCGTTACTTAGGTATGGTGTGAAGTTTAAACCTCTAAAAGCCTTTCCATATAGATCTCTTTCATGAAAGATTGAAATTCAATTTTTACATAATAATATATAAACATTTTAAATTTCCATTGGTCTCTCTCTTTCCATTCATATATATATACATAAAAACATACATAAACACACATTGATTTTTGGATCTAGGCAGCCGTGAAATCTGAACCAAGGCACTTTTAAGATGACATCTCTCATGTAAATTTGCAAACACTTCTTATTTTTTTTCATTTTGCATCATAGGTTTGACGTGACATCTGAAATAAGGACTTTCTAAAGAACATGTTAATAAATGCCATCACTTCAGTTCTTGATCCACTCCATGTGAACTCTATAGGATCATAACTGGGACTGCAAATATGATCGGATGAAATAAAAGAAAGGAAACTAACAACTACACAAATCAAGAAGATGCAGTAGCCACTTCAAGTGTTTGTGGTTCCATCATGTGTGCACGTGTAATTTTTAGCAGATTTTACAAAGTAAAAGTACCTCATTTGGAAGAAAACTTACGCAGATTCACGGACAAGAGGTACGCCGGGCATCCTCTTTATATGTTGTTCATAGCCTACCAACCTCTTTAATTTTGGAACATGCGCAGCCAGTCAAAACCCTAGCTATACCTGAGAAGATAAAAGGCAAGTAATTTCCCGTTTTATATATGGAGAAAATATAATGTATAGTTACACTTCATAAGCAAAAGTAATTTAAAAACAGTTCTCGATGGGCATCTATTAAAAATACCATGTCAATGTTATCATTTTCCTGTAGATAAAAATTATGGTATTACCCAATAAAAAGTAAGAAAACTATAATTATTAAGCAAGCAATTAATTGCTTTTAATACATATTAATAAGATAAGCATGGCCCACATAAACCTTCACATTTGGATACTGAGACATACTTCTTTGACTTCTTTCAGAATTTTCTCAGCAATTAAAACGAAAACAAAAGAAATAACATAGCTTATGTTGTACAGCATTTACACGCACTATCGCATATAGATGTGTACGGGTGTGTGTATATCACTTATGCACCATCCCTATACACATCAGTTTTAAGAGTGTGTTCAACCTAACATGGTTGTAACATGTCATAGCACTTGGAAGAGCCAGAGCACAAAGCTAGCCAATATGGTTGGAAAATCCAAACCTATATAAACCCACAAAGGAAGCCCATACTTCCGATGTGGGATCTAAATTCTCATAAATCCCACTGAAAATCATGACAAACTACCACGCTTTTCACTCGGCATTCACGTCGAACAGGTGCTCATACACCCTAACTGGTAACCAAAACCAAAAGACATGATGCCTGCTCTGATACCATTGTCATAGGACTTTGAAGAGCCAGACTACAAAAGCTAGCTAATGTATTTGGAGAACCCAAGTCTATATAAACCCCACAAAGAAAGCTCATACTTCCAATGTGGGATCTAGATTCCCATAAATCTCACTGAAAATCATGACATAACATTTGCATTAGAGCATAAGCCCTTCTAAGGACAATCCTCATTGCAAACAACTCTTCAACTATTTTTATTAGAACATTGATTCTGTGAAATCAACCAAGAATATGAGCGTCGTGGAAAATGTTTCTAATAGAGGGGGCAGATGTAGTAGCTTAATTGCGTCCCACATTACTAAATTAAGTTTAAACCACAAGACCACCTACCTTCCCCTTGTAATCCAGTTCTAAGGGTGGGGGTTCTAGATTGAAATCATATTGACGTGAAATGCTTAATTACGTGGATCTATAATTTATAGCTGAAGTATTAAAAACAACAAATTAAAAGCAAATAGACATAGAAACCCAAAAAAAAAAAAAAAAAGAATGACCTAGGGTGATTATCAAAGCCCTAATTCTGTCCTGTAGAACGGCTATAAGCATTAAAGATTCAATTTTCAACAAGATTCTTGTGTTCTTTCATCTGCGTTTAGCACTTTAGATGCACTTAAATGTAATTATTTATGTATGTGTACAGATAGACAATTACCAGTAAAATCACCGGGCTGACCCGTTTCCTTAGTAAGTGGGAAGCGACTGAGCCACCTTAAGCTGCGGATTGTGGTGGCGTTTTGTCGGTACTCGCCGTCGTGTAACGCCGTTTCGAACGCTCCTGTAGCTGTTGGTCCTTTTCTTCTTTTCCCTTTTATCGTTATTTATTTATTAATTTATTTTGCAGAAAAAGAAATCGATTAATTTCACTAATGGCCACTGAACTTTTTTTGTATCATGTTGAACACTGAACTTTGATTTATTTCAGAAGCATCACTAAATTTTAAAAAATATTTCCTTCAAACCATTGATTAAGTTTGAAGTCCATTTTTTAAGTAAATATTCTACGTTTCTATCCCAACTCGTAAGATATAACTAAAAATCCTAACGGTTTAATGGCTGTTACATGAACATGTAAAAATTTCAATTATAAAATAGATGATAAACTAAATTGTGGTCCAGATCAAACATTTGTAAGGTTCAAAACAAATTATAGTTTAATGGAAATGTGGCATTGAGTACAAAGTTCAGTGATCATAGGTAAAATAAACCATAATCCTGTAGGAGATATTACACCGATAATGTACATATTATATTACTCAAGAATATACCGTGAAATCGAAATATCATTTGACTTACCGAAATCTAATTTGAAAAGACAAATTAGTGAATTACCGACTTCGAATATATGAACATGAATTCATCACTTTCTAATCTTGAATTCTTGTCATTCTTTAATTCAAACCTTAGCATGAAATCAAAAGAATATTAATTACTTTCCGAAATCAAAATACTAAATTAGAATGAAATCGGAAAAAGAAAGATGAGATGCAAGTGATGCGATCGGCTAGGCAAGTGTTTGACACTTGTCCTTAAGATGAATTTGCCCCGCATTGGTGCTAACGGTTTTCCCGCAATCATCTCCCAAAATACAACGATCACGTCAAGCCATAGGAGCACTCCAAATGACTTAGACCAACGAACTCGAACGGAGTTCCCTCTCTACCATAACCATGATCTTGATGTAAGAAATAATCACTTCTACAAAGTGTTTTATGCAAACTAAATTGTAAACATGGAATGAAATGATATGGAATTATCAATTGAATTCTCGTTATCAATCCAAACACATGGGGATCTATATATATAATAGTTGGAAAGGTTTGTCAAAAGATACAACCATACCAAAAGACACATCTCTTGAAATTAAGATACATAATTATTGGAAGTTACTCATATCAAAAGTCACGATCTCTAAAAGTCATGATCTTCCATATGAAAAGACACGTCTTTTCATCTACATATTTTTTAGAATATTCCACAATATTTTATACGAGTTTCCAACAATTTCAAGTATTAAGTTGTTTAAATTTGGCTTAATTTCTCATTCATCAAACAACGAATTTCGCTTAAATCATTTAAATTTGTCATAACCAATTTCCGATACAAGATTCCAATAATCCCCCATATGAATGAAAATTAATGCAAATAACTATGCAGACACTAATAGAGAGAGGGCTGAAAACACTGCATCATAGAAGGTAGCTTCAGTCTTGAACCTCCCTTAGTGAAATACTATCAGACTTATTGGCTAATTGGTGAACGTGATGTCTTGAACCATTCAGCCTTTGGTGTAAGCCAAGACAACGGTACTCACACAAATGTCTTCCCTAAACCGTTCATGGTTCTCATGATTGTGTCCATTTTCGCCCGGACCACTCTTAGTTTCATAAGTGTTTAGAAAATTTTAGCCTCGAACAATTATCATTGAAGCGGCCTCACTTCACACTTACATAAGTGATCTCCTATTAAGAGTATTTTGTCTTACTCTACTTGACTTAATCAAGATATAGGAATCATTAAAATCATAGCTTAACCTCACACTTTGCAGAAAGCACTGTAATTATCATAGGAATGAGTTGTGAAGTATTTCCCCGAGTGCTTTATTAAATCTTCATAACTTAGTTGTTCCTTTGAACCAAGATTTTGGGATCTCCAGTCAACAATGTAGGGTTACAATTATAAAGACTCTTACTTAGTAGGCTTATCTCATTCCCTTCGATATGCAGTATTCTTGATCTCTCGATAAATCTCTTAAAGGTACCACGAGTTTACACCATTGAGATCGACTGCTTAACGGTATTATGTCTACGACTTATACATCTAGACTTATCATTACATGTGACTTAGTATCTCATCAAATATAGATAGCTAATGATTGATTGATTTAATAGATATAACATGTCACCACCAATAAATCCTTTCATGAACTACATACTTCTAACTAGCTTTATTTAAAGCCTTATAAATTCCAAACAACAATGTTAGAGGATTTCTATCACGCACTACACTAGTCCATCACTTTTACTAGTGAATTTCAGAAACTTGGGTATTCAATACCATTATTGAAATATTATAATGCATTTCAACTTTATGAATATTCTTCAAATATTCCAATTGATCTTGCATATCCAAACAAACGACATATTTGGCATTCATCTCATTTCATCCACTTTAGACTCAGTGTATATCATCCTTATAATTAGTATAAGGATTTTCTACCTTTTCACCTTCATACATATATTTCTATGATTATAAGGTATGGAGAATTGTAACTTTTAAATATAAGTTACCCCCACAATTCCTCAATTAGGAATGCATGTGTAACTAATAATGTTGCATCCACAAATCTTGAACTTTCAATATAAGTTCGCAAGTATTGATGTTAACTCCCACATTTTTGGGTTACACTTGAACTTAGAGTTCATCAACTCTTTCATGATTCAACTCATTTATCGAATAGATAATGTCCATATCGAATGTTTCGTAAAAGTTTAAATACTTTCAAAATAGTGGTCGTCAATCCACAATTTATTTCAATTAAGGTCATCACATAGACCAACAATGCTCTCAAAACATATACCAATTTAATTGGTTCCGCGATTGAAATCGAATTCAACAATGAAGAAGACTAAGCATCTCGATTCACAAGAATTACAACTTCTCCCAACATATGTAACATATCATATTTGTGACATTTCACAAAATAGTATTATTCCATGTTAAATAATACTTATTCACTATATTCAAATTGAATGAACGAATCATTCATCAGTTGTGTTTTCAAAAGACAACCCAACAAGAGGACACTCATCTTCAAATTAATTGAATTTTCCATATTCCAATAAAAGGAATAATTATGAAAGTTCATATACTTTCAATAACTAGTTGGCATTTTTCCAACATTTATACATTTCCAATGGTTATGAGTAAATTCCCCTTTCTCCAATTCATCACGATCAAGGTAACGAAATAACAACTTATGTTTCAAACATTTATACATTTATTGTATAAGTTTATTTAATTTTAATCAACACATGTCGTGACTGGAATATCAATATCTTCAGGAAATCCATACACTTCTATATTTAGAGATATCATTATTGATCTCAATCTCGATCAATTAAATTAACCAAGACCAAATTGTCAACCATTGATATGGTACAAATCTCGAATTAATTTCATTTATAACAGACACATCAAAAA